GGGGGTCTGTACCCCACATGGGTCAGGGGACACCCACAGAAGGGGCAGGGAATCGGCCTTCATTGAGGACTGTCTCTTCAGTAGAAAGGATGGAGGTTATTTCCCCCCCCCCCCAAAAAAAGTGGGAGGGAAATCAGGATTGTGGGATAACGAAATTCCTTTGTGCTTCAAACTTGACCGCTTGAAGACTTTGTGGACTTCCAACTCCCAGAATTCCTCCTCCAGTCATGTTAGCTGAGGAATTCTGGGAGTTGAAATCCACAAAGTCTTAAAATTCCCAAGTTTGAAGACCCTTGGCTTAGTGGGATCATTCCTCCAGCCATGGGAGAGCCGCAAATGACAGGCTGCTTGCAATTGGTCTTTACCTGCATGCGCACCTTCCTTGGCCCCGCCTAGCTGTGTTTGGGCCCTTTGCACAAAGCTGCCTTCTTTCTCCGGCCCTTTAGTCTCTCTTGGTGGCCCCCTGCCCCGCCCCGCTGGACATCGAAGGAGGGGGGGGGCAAGAGGGGGGCAAGAGGGCGTTCACAGAGGTAGGCCTGGCAGATGCCATCCTTGAAGATGGACTTTGAGGCAGGGCAGCCTGTTTCCACCGAGGCCCCATGGCAGAAGATACGGAACAATTCAAACTCGGACCACACGTTTCCTGAACAGTTTTTACCCAGAGCCATAATTGCACTTAACAATGAACTTAAGGACGATCATCAGTGAGCTGTTGGACAGTATTACGTGGTCTGTTGTGCGGATGCTTGTGTGTTTTTAGGAGGTAGGGAATTTTGGAGGGTTCGGAGGTGCTTGGGCATTGTCATTGTTTGTTGACACCTGACACCACTAGATGACCTCGCTAGGGCTCGCTGCCTTAGAAGAGCGAGGAAAATCCTCACATCCCGGTCAGCCCTTCTTCACTCTCCTACCATTGAGTAGGAGATAGAGAAGCAGAGCCGGCTGCACACCAACGGGCTGAAGAACAGTTTCTACCCGTGGGCTGTGAGACTTCTGAACGGAAAATAACTTCGTGTCAACATAGTGTGACAGACTTGCGGGGCTGTGGCGTTGTGCAACAAGGTCACACATAGCGTGATAAGATTGGGACTGGGTTAGGAATTTCTGTCCTCGCTGTGAGTTGTGTTGCACGAAGGGAGGCTCAGCCAATCCCATTGTACACGTTGTACACTCTATAAAGAGAACAATATTTTTTTTTTCCCTTCAAGGAGTACTCAAAGCTTTGTGTGTTATGGATGAGCTGTGTCTTCCTTCTAATCTAATAGCCTTAACTCATAGGGAAATACAGACGAAATTAATTGAAACTGGTTGGACTAACCAAGCGAGGGAAATGAGGCCACGCAGGCTTCATTGGCAGGCTCCTGGCTGAGAACTGCAAAAGGCAGAGAGGCCACCGTCTTTTCAGCCAGAATCTTCCCTGGGGAAACCAAGAAAGCCACCGGCACACTAAGGAAACTTGCTCAGAGAGATACTCTGACCTGGTATGATAACAGTAATAATGAGAATAGCATCGCTGTCCCCGATCATGACTTGAGCTGGGAAATTTGCTAAGTGTGACTAAGAGGCAGCACGGGGCAGGACTTAGGGTGGAACCCACATGGGGGTGTGTGTGTGTGATAACCACAGGGAGGGGCCCAGGTGGCGGAAGTGCCGGTCCCGGGGCAGGAAATCCTCAAGTTCTCCTCCAGCCGGAGACTCGGTGGGCGGCCACAATGGCCAGTTTTCCTCCGCCCTTGGAGAGGGGGTGGGTGGGCGTGGGGAGTCAGGCCAGCTAGGCCCCTGTCGGCAAGAGGCAACTGGATTGGCCTGGACCTCCCCCGGGTGGACCAGGGCCGAGGGGAGCTTTCCCAGCCCTTGGAGAGCCCCTCCGTGTGGCTGAAGCGGTGCGCCTGAGCGGCTGAGCTTCAGGGTGCCGGAGGCTCTTGGGCTTGCTGGAGGTTGTGAGGACAGTGCGGCCTTAGTATCGCCCGCACAATAACCCACGTTGGGAACCAGCAGGGAGGAAGGGGGAAAGTTAAAGAGTTTTCTTTTCATTTCATTTCCATGTGCCTACGCACCTCCCGTTTCCTTGCTTTAAGAAAGTTATACCGCCTGCCTAGGAGTTCTTTTCGTATGTCGGACAGTATGTAAGGCAGGCAGGCCACGCGCACCTTATCCATCAGATTAGTTAACCTGGGGCCTTTGAGATAACATACCCCCTCCCACCCCAGACTCCTCAGCTCTCAAGCATTGGGAGGGAGGGAGGGAGGGAGGGGAAACAGGCCAGGGCTAAGGGAGGGCTGACCCCTAGCGTCAGCTCTGGGGAAAAGCACTTGCCCGGCCTGCCTGTCCCTTGGGGAGAAGGGCGGGATAAAAGATAATCAGAGTTGGAAGGGTCCTTATAGGTCATCTAGTCCAACCCCCCACCCCCACCCAAGCAGGACCTATTTCTGACAAATGACAGCCCAATCTCTTGGAAGCCTCCACCGATGAAGCTCCCACAACCTCCAAAGGCCACTTTTGTTCCATGGGTTGATTGTTCTCCCTATCAGAAAATTCCTCCTTATTTCCAGGTTGAATCTCTCCTGGGTCACTTTCCATCCATTATTCCTTGTCTGGCCTTCGGGTGCCTTGGAAAACAGGCTGACCCCTTCCTCCTCTCTGGGGCAGCCCCTCCAATATTGGAAGATGCTCTCCTGTCTCCCCTGGTCCTTCTCTTCCCCGGTCTAGCCAAGCCCAGTTCCTGCAACCTTTCTTCATATGCCTTAGGTAGGTCACCTTTGGCAGGCCCTGGGAACCTTTCTGTCCCCAGCCTCAGGGTAGGAAGAGCCCGCCTCTGTGGGGACGGGGAGCCAGGCGCCCTGTGGGGGGCAGCGAAGATTAGGGGTTGCTGGCCCAGATCTCTTGAAGCCCCCCCTCCCTCCCTCCTCCAGGGGGGGAGGAATGGCCTCCATCAGGCAATGAGGAGCGGGCATTTGGAGGTGGGGGAGGGCATCCCTAGCCCCCTCCCCGGTGGGCCCTGGGATCTTTTGCCGCTGCCGGAGCCCTGCAAGGCGCCGGGCTGGGGGAGACTGACTGACTGACTGACTGACTGACACACACACACACACACACACACACACACACACACACACACACACACACACTCACTCTCTCTCTCTCTCTCTCTCTCTTACTTCGGGGGGGGGCTTTTCTCAAGGAGGGGGCGCCGCCTGGTGGTTGCGCGTGGAGCCCCGGAGCGGCGGGCGGGCGGGCTGCCCCGGGTGCTCGGCACGTCGGCCGGCCTTTGCTGGGCGGTGCCGCTGCCGGCTCCTGCCGGGAGAAAGTCGACCTTCGGAGGCGGCGCGGCCGTCAGGTCCCTCCCTTCCTGGCCGGAGGCGGAGCGGACCGTTGCAAAGCGAGGGCAGCGCCGGCCGGGAAGGCGCCGGTTTCTTCCCGACGTTCCTGCCAGGTAGGTCGGGAGCGCGCTGAAGCCAAGGCTCGCTTGCTCGGGCAGCGACGGCGGGGCTGGGCTGGGCTGGGCTCCGGGTCCGGGTCGGGGCTGCCCGAAGAAGGCAGGCAGGTAAGCAGCAGAGGCGTCCAGCTATCCGTCTAACCCAGGGGAGGGAGGGAGGGGCTGGCTGGGCTGGCAACCTGGGCCGGCTCAGCTCTTCCACCGCTGGGCGCGCTTCGTTTCCAGGAGCCTCGGCGTCGTCCCAAGGGCGGGTTCCCCCTTTGCCTTCGGGAGGGAGAAGTTCCAGCTTCCTTTTCCCGGATCCAAGCATGGGCTTTCCAAAGACAGCCCCCCCCCCCCCCCCCCCCCTCCTGGGCGAAGGTCAAGGGGGGGCTGCTCTCCCAGGAGCCAGAGAAACAAGGCCCACCGGTTGAAATTCAGCCTGTTGAAAGTTGTGGACCAAATGCTGGGGACAACCCACTGCCCCCCCTCTCCTCATTTTTTTTTACTTTCTCGGCGCCCTTGTCGTTGTTTTTGTGTTGCCGTCACCAGGTAAACTTGGGAGGTGCCCCAGGCCAGAAGGAAGTTAGTAACTTTGGAAACTGGGGGGTGGGGGCTGTATTCCAGCCTTCCTTCCCCCCCCCCTCGCCCCCCCATCCACAATGCCCCTTTCTGTAGGCTGCTGTGCCTCTTCCAGAAGAAAGGTGCTTGTGGCTGGTTCCTGACTTCCGCCGTCATTTTACCAAAGTTAGTTTCAATGTGGTTCTTTTTCGTGCCTCCTTTCTTGCTCTGTTGTTAAAAAAAATCTTTTTCTCTCCAAGCGTCCGTTCTTTGGCGACTGGACAATAGAAGCAGCAGCCGGGCAGGTCTGGTGCCACATACCCACCCGCCCTCCCTCCGTTGGGGCCGCTGCAGCCACTGTTCCTGCAGGGAGCGTCGACAGGCAGAGCAGGCAGCCATGGACCGGGGCTTGACCATCGAAAACCCCTATGCCAGCGTCGCCATTCCGCGGGCTCAACTGAAGGACGACTTCTTGAGTTACTACCTGGGGGAGGACTTCGGTCCCAATGTCTTGGGCTCCTGCTCGGCAGCCCCCCAGAAAGAGGCAGACCCCAAATCCCCCTCTCTGGCTTGGAACGGCCAAGCGCAGGCTGAGTCTCAAGCCAGGCCCACCAACCCCTACGCCAGCCTCAAGGCGGCCCCCAAGGTGGACGCTCCGGAGCCCTTCCGCTGGAAGAGCCACGAAGAGGCAGCTCCGGATCCTGGCGGCTGCCGCGGCTGCCGCAGCTGCTGCTCAGCTTGCTGCAGGAAGCGCTGCTGCGTCATCTCCTAACCGAGGAGCAGTCGAGGCCGGACGTGGCTGCGCTCACCTGCCCCACTGCTGGGCATCGCCCACCCTCTGCCAGAATGGTGGGTGCCCTGATGCCCGGGAGGGAGGCCTAAAGGAACAGTCAACTTTTCTCTCCCCCCGCATTTCCACTGAGGCAACGTGGGCAGCGGAGGAGGGCGCTCCGGGCCGGCCTTCGATGAAGAAGAAGAAAAAGCTTCCCCTGGCAAAGGAACATGGAACGTGGGTACGGCACTCACCATGGACCTGGAGCTGCATTTGCCCCCCGCCTCTGTGAGGACCAGCCAGAGCCTGCCGTGCCTTCCCTTACCTAGCCTCGCCCCTGTGCTTTCTCTGGAGGGGAGCGGGTAGAAGACAAATGGAGGCAGAGTGGGCACTGGACTGGGGCAGGCGCATGACCTTGCTTGCTCAGGGTGGGGCCTTTGGCCTCTGCCCTTTAAAGGGAGGCTGTGGTGAAAGTTATCTGTTGATAAGGAGCGTCATAAAACTTGCTGTTGCCCCGCCAGCCTGTCTCCCTGGTGCTCCTGGGAGGGGCACCCCTTCTCCTTCTTTGCCCAGTTGTTCTTGCACCTTGTGTTGGCCTTCTCATTTTCCTTATCTTCACATCTCCCTGGCTTGGGACCTGCTTTGTATGCCTCCCAAGGACGCACGCTCCAGAAGGTTACCCATGGGCGTTCCTTGGCACAACCCCAGCAGGGCGAGATTCCACGTTTCCCTTGCCAGCCTTGCCCCGCCACCCTTGCTGAATGCGACACCCTGCCTTGTTCTCCGCCACGCCCTGACAGCCCTGCCTGGCTTCCCTTTCGGACTCGCTGGCCATAGAGGCGTCTATGCCAGACTAGTTTGAGAACTGGGGGTCTTTGGAGCTGGCTCCCTGAGGCCTGGAAAGCAGAGTCCAGCTTTGAGCCAAGGAGAAGAAAGCAAAATTCATTGCTAAGGCTGTCTGGACAGCAGCGCAGAGTAAAAAAGTGCAGAGTAAAAAAGCCAGAAGAAAAATAAAGAGGAAGGGCGTTGCTTTCAGTTTCTGCGCTGGGCAACCCACGGACCATCGGCTCATCCGTTGGGGGGTTTTTCCTGACCGGATTTCTCAATTCCTTCAATACTGGTGGGGGTCTCTCGACCGGCCTTCTTCACTGGGAGACAATTCAGAGACATTTCCGCCTTGACAATGGCCCATCACGAGAACTGTCTTACATAGTCAAAACATCAGCACAGGAAATATTTTATGACGTTTTGTATTCGGATAATCTTAGGCCATCGAAAGTTTTATAAAATTTGCCAAATTTCAATGCCACTGGAGTCATGAGTCCTGGGTTTCGGACGCGTTCTGTGAGTTAGTCCGTTTGAAGTACTTGGTCCAAAACATTTCGCCCTCCGGTCACGTTTCGCCCGGTTACGGGAAAGGAATCAAGAGTTGTCGTTTGTGTGTGTGATTTAGTGTGTGCCAAAGGGGATTCTGGGCTTCCCTCCTTCCTGCTTGTGACCAGCTATGTGGGAGGGGAGCGGGGGGGTTCAGGTGGAGGCAGAAATTGGTCAGCACACAAGCAAGCAGCAGAAGGCAGGCATTTACCACCTAAATGTTCCCCCACCCCCAGAAGGGCTGACTCCCACCCCTTTCCTCCTCCCCTCACCCACGGTCTCTTGGGAACCCATTTAAATGAAACATTCCCCCCCTGCATTCTGTGAAGGGTTGAGGAATGTGGCCAGACAGGTGCCTGCCCCACTGCCGGCTGTTTGTTCAGGAGGAAACCAAGCAAGAGAAGGCTTGCTCCGAATCTAGCACGCTCAACCGTTAAGCCCACAGCAGAATTTTTTTCTCCACAGTCTTTCCTTCTTCAGCCCCCTGTCTCGACTTGCAGTGTGGCACCCCAGAACGTCTACGCCCCATGTGGGTGAGGCTTCACAGAGTTAGGCCACGGTCTGTTCTTTCCCCCGATCTTAGTTATGGCAGTGTTGTGGTTCGCCGGCAGCAGATGCAGATGGCTGAGGTCTCGGAGAGCGAGGATTCAGATGAGGGGCTTGCGTGCGATGTAGGGATGGGGCCAGGACCATCAGGGAGCAGAATGCTGCCTTCGGAGCTTGTGGAGGTTGGCAGCAGTGATGAAGAGGTCCCCGAGGAGCCTGGGCCCAGTGCGTGTGTACGCAGAGCTGCTCGAAGGAAAGAGCAGCTGCAGCAGCACAGGCAACTCGGGAGTAAGGCTGCAAAGTGATGTCCCCTCAAGGGATAAAAGCCAGCCCTCAGAGATGTGATTCTTTGCAGGAAGCAAAGAAGTTCTTGCGCTTCAAGTCTTGTGGAAGTTTGGACAATCCTGGTTTGTGTTTGGAGACTTGGTTTTGATCAAGGGTGGGATTCAACCGGTGTTACTACCGATTCAGTGACTACGTCTTTGCCGGTGCAGCCTCTTGGAGCAGGAGGCCTTGCAGGGTCCCAATGACTCATTTTTGGTGGAGTTTGAGAGAGAGCAGCCTCTGCAGGCCTTCAGGAAATACCAGAAGTGCCGAAATGGGCCCGTTTTTCGGCCTCCCAAGGCTGCAGAGGCTTCTCTCGAACACGCGCAAGGGGGGGGGGGGGGGAGCACATAGCATTGTGAATGCCGGCACTTTCAGCACACCACAGCGAAAAGGTTCACCATCACCGACCTAGACAAACCAGCATCCTCGCCTCGCATGCTCCCCCGCCACGCCTCTTGTTCTCCCCGTTGCCCAAGGGGGTTGCCTGAGGCTCCTCTAGCCAGCAGCCCCTCTCTTCCAGGTATCCTTCTCTCAGCCTTAGGATAGAACACTCTCTCTCTCTCTCTCTCTCTCTCTCTCTCTCACACACACACACACACATACACACACACCTTGACAGAAGCCCAAGGTCCAGACTCTGAGGCTGAGTTGAGGAGGCCCTGTGGAGAAGGAGGGGCATAGGGACCCTGAGGCCCAGGGGTGGTCGCAGATGGCTCCGGAGGTGCAGGAATACTTAAATCCTAAGGGTCCTTTCTCCTGTGGGTGGGAGGTGAGCACTTCAGGTGTCTGTGCAAAAAGTGGTTTCGTGACTGACATCCAGAGCAGCGCTGGGGGGGGATGAGTTGGAGGAGGCAGGCAAGGGAGGGAGCACCTAATTGCGTTTCTGTGGCTATGTTGTTGGCCAGGACAACCGTAACTCTATCTTGTGAAGTTGGCCTCCTCATGGTAGATACAGTACCGGCGACTGTGCCTGAAATGTGAACCTCTCGTATAATTGAACAGCCCGAGAGGCTGTCAGCCTCCCTTTCTTTCTCGGGAGGAGAGCGAAGATGCATCAAGAAATGTAAGTTTCTCCCACAGAAACCAGCCTGCTGCCGATTGTGTAGCCCCAGAGCCCCACCAGCCTCCACTCTTTGGCTTTGGGTAAGGCGAACCCTTTGCAGGGGGATCTTGGCCTGCTGACTGCAGCCTGGAGGCCGTTTGTGCAGGTCGCCCCTTTGGGGGTGCTGCATTTGGCAGGGGTTCCCATCTAATTCTCTCACTTTTCACTTGAATTAAGGCTCTTAAGTGATTGGCTCGGTCAACTGGGCTGTCCCCTGCTTTCAAGGGGTAGGTTCGCATGAAAACTGCAGCTGGTGCCACCCAGGATCCTCCAAGGCACCATCTAAAACCTGACATTCCTTAGCCAGCAACCCAGCTGTCCACATCAGAGGGGAAATTGTGTCCCTCCTCTTTTTTATTTATTTTTATTTTATTTTTTACTCTAATACAGGGGTGTCCAAACATTTTTTGCAAGGAGGGCCAGATTTGGTGAGGTGAAAATGTGTGTGGGCCGACCCTGCTGTGCAGTGAAGGGAAAAATGCCGGCCGGTGGGGATGAGTGACAGGCTGAGCCGGCGGGGACAAGAGGCTGCGGGACGCTCGAAATTTGAAAACGGGCTGCAATTGGGCCTCTGGGCCGGATTTTGGACATGCCTGCTCGAGTAGTTCAGAGCTTCTGAAAGAAAATCGGGAGTTTCAGACTGACGGGCATTCAGAGGCAGTCCCTGAGCTTTTGACCGAGCGGCAACTGAGACCCACTGGAGCTGCTGCCCAAGTCCAGTCCGCGGCTGGCCCTGAACGGCTCTTCTCTTGCATTCCTCCCTGCAGGACTGCTCTGCCTTCCGGGCCTGAGGACGACGAGGCAGCCAAACCCGGCCTGGAGATCACCGTCTCCAATCCCAGCAACCTCAAACTCGAGTGTGTCGTCTGTTACTGCTCCTATGACCTCTCTTCCCACCTCCCTCGCCGCCTCCACTGCGGCCACGCCTTTTGCCAGGCCTGTATCCGGCGCCTCAATGTGTTGGCCAACGAGCAGTGGTGGGTCCCGTGTCCCCAGTGCCGGCAAAACACCCCCACCCCCCGCGGAGGGGTGGCAATGCTTGACTTGGACCTCGCGGCCTTCCTCGCCGTCAAGTCCGAGAAGGTGCTTCCCCGGCACGGAGGCCGGCTGCAGCCGGATCAGCTCTCCAAGGAGAAGCCGGTCCTCACGGAGCAGCTGAGCGGCTCGTGCCAGGAAGTTTTGCCTGAGCCCCAGCCCTGCTTTCCCCGGAATGGCTGCTGCTGGTGGTGGTGCTGCTGCTGCTGCGACCCCATTCTCTGCTGCGGAACCGCTGCAGCCTTTCCGAGCTGAACGAGCTTCCTGCCTGCCTTGGGGAGTAACTGGCAAGGGAGGAGAAGCGTTGACCCATTGCTGGACTTCAGATTCCAGGATTTTCTGAAAATGTCTCTCTCTTTGCTGCATCTCGCAGGACTTCCCTATTCTGTGGTTTTCTAGCACAATCTCCTGACCAGCCCAGGAGATGCGCGTAAGCCCTCCATCCCCAAATCTTGCACCAGATCCTCAGGACTTTCAAACTGGGCATTGCTACAGACTGTAGCCAGCTGGTCTTACTCCTCGGGGTGCGTTCTTAATGAGGCGTTTTATTTATTTTTCTAAGTTGCACCTCCTGGGCTTCCCTTGAGTTGATACTTTCGCTGCTGCTGAGAGTGTCCAGAGGATAAATCTGATCTGCAAGTGACTCTCTAGTAGATCCGATGGCTCGGACTCTGCCTCTAGTCTCTTTTTAGTCGGTCACAGGCTGCTTCCAGAGAAGCTCTCGTTTTTGCAGAGGAGGGAGATCCATTTCCTTGAAATAGAAGAGGGTTTCCTGTTTAAGCAAGGGGGTCCTACTAGAAGACCTCCAAGGCCCCTCCAACCCTCCAGTTCTGTCATTCTGCTCTTCTCCCCTCTTTTATCCTCCCCTGATTCCTTTTTGTCCTATTGCTGCATTGAACACCAGGCATCCTTGGAGCAAATGCCCTTCCGTCCTTCTCGGTTTCCAATTTTGGAGAACACGCTTGGGGTCTGATTTGGTTGGGGGGCTGAACCTCAGCAGCCTCAATAAGTTTTGTAAAAGATATATTTTCTTAATTTTTTTAAAGTTAGTCTCTGCTTCGAAAATGAGCGTCTTTCTGACAAGAGTTCACAAGTGAAAAGAACTTGATACCGCTTTGCTGCTGCAATAGTGATATTAAAATATGTTCTGGTATGTCATAATTAGAAGAAAATAACGTTAACATTGATGATCTACAGAGGTGCTAATTTCATGAGGAGTCAGTACTACATAGCGAATTTTGATTTTCAAATCCGTGATACCCGAGTGATTCTCAGACCCTTAGTCAAAATGTTGTTCAATAGTTTGTTCTCACCTTCATCCCCTTTTAATTTCACTGGTCGAATTCTGCACGAGTGAAAATACTGAATTTAGCCCATCTTAGATGTTTGAATGACAAGCAGGCAGAGCTGCATCAAATCACGAAGGGATCCAAAAGGCTTGGCTACTTCTACTTTCCTGATGCACCGTTACTGGATATTTTAAATTTGAGATGCTTTGTTTTTTTTATTAAAAGTCACCGATCTGCCTTTCCAAATAGGAACCTGCTCATGATTTTTTTCATGCCTCGGTATTGGTTGGTATTTTCTATAAGTGGCTGTTATTATTTAAAAAATAAAAGCAGGCAAATTCTTACTCGCGAGGCAGCCACAAAGGCTTAACAACCGGACCCTGAAGGTACAGAGGGACTTTAGGTAGCCCCAAACCAAGGGGAAGCCAGCCGGGGAACCTCTTCAGGAAAAACCTCTCTGGAAAAGGCAAAGCATTTCTGGGTTGCGCCTCTCTTTCGGGTCTCTGCAGATGGCGGGCCTGGGGAGGCTCTTGCTTGCGGCCAGGTGAGAAGATGGAAGCCCAGGTAGGAAGCATGCAGGCAGGTACGTATGTCTGTCGCAAGAGGACTCTTGCTGCTCTGGCCTTTGGAGGAGGAGCAGGTTTCTAGAGAGGTTTGGGGTTTCTTCCCCAAACCCCCAAAACTTTAACCTTAGGCTGTCTGCTATTGACCTCACCCCTTTCCTAAGAGGCCTGTAGTGGGTGTGCATAAGCGCACCAAATGTGCCTACCGTCCCTATCCTATTTATTTCTCTTATATGTATCCATTTCATGTATTCATAACTACGTTTATACTTATACCTGTTATCTTGTAAGCGGTTGACAAATCAGAGAACACAAATAAATAAATAAATCTGGATTCCCAGGTCACCCTCCGTAGCACTGCCCGCCCCCCCCGGTCCTTGCTACAGTTCCTGGGGGAGGCCCGTTGAGGCCTAGCGGCAGAGGCCTCACCAGAGAAGCCTGCCTCGAGTTAGCGGGGCCAGCGGAGGCAGGTAGGGCCCAAGAGGGTCTCTGAGGGGGTCTTGGCCCAGCCACGAAGAGAGAGAGGAGAGGTGGTGCTCTGGCTGCCTGACCCATGGGGCAGAGGAGGATGCCCAGAGATGCCCTCCCTGGGGAGGGGCCGGACCCCTTGCCCCATGTTGCACGATGGGGTAGGATGGGGGTGTGTGTGACCGGATAATTGGGCAGCTCTTAAGGGAGACCCCCAGCTTGGCTTGATCCATGGTGGAAATGCGCCCACTTAAAGGTGTTTTCACACCCCAGAGGCGGCCGAAGGAAAACAATAGTTTTTCCTCTGGTTTTAGGACCCGTTGAGATGGGCGGACCAGAATCACACTGGAAGGTAGCATGGGTTTTTTTGGCATTGCTCCTCGTACATTCTGGTGAGTGGGTACTTCATTTAATCCTTTATCTACGCGGACCGAGATCCCCCTTACTATCACGCTGGTCTGAGGTTATCTCACACTCTCCCAAGGTCCTCTCTTTCTAAAATATTTCCTTTTATTTATTTATTTTTTTTAAAGAATGCTTTATTGAGGTTTTTTTTTCCATTGATACATAACGCCAATAGTTATTAAACGGCGCTGTGACATCATATACACATTTACGTGTCCTATCAAAACTTACAATACATAATACTTTCATGCCGCCTTATTTATTATACACATTATTTACATTTTCTACTCTTATATCTATTATCAATCTGAATAAACCGTGTTTCCCATACTGCATTGTATTCTGTCTGTTTTCCCTTTTAATTCCATAGTTAATTTATCTATTTCCACACACTCTAAATTTTTTTATTATTATTATTAATCCTTCAGGTGGTATGGAGTTTTTCTTTCCGTATGGAGCATATGAAATTCTTGCTGCTGTTAATATATGTAATATAAGATATTTTGTCTTTCTATTATAGTTTTTTTTATTATTCCTAAGAGGAATAATTCCGGGACAAAATCAATTTTGTTTTTTAGTTAACTCTTCTAACCACGTTTTAATCCTTTTCCAGTATTTTTTTCACTTTGGGGCATGTCCACCAAGAATGAAACAAGGTACCTTGTTGTTGTCCACACTTCCAACAATTTGGTTTTAAATTTGGGTAAATCTTAGCCAGTCTTGAGGGTGCCAAATGTCAACGATAGAACATTTTAATATTGGTTTTCCTTATATATAAATATTTCCTTTTCATGTCCTCTCATTTCTTCTACTGTTGGGTCTGCCAAAGCTCCTTTTATTATTTGGATGGAAAGATTTTAGCCTGTGGATCCTAACAGGCCATGTGAGTCTGGCTGTGTGAGTGAGGACAGAAAGAGACACAGAACCTGCTACAGTAGAAGATTGCCTGCAGAATCAGTGCCAAGTTGATGTTAGACCAAGGAAGAAAGCTGGCTTATAGTTAGAAGGACCGATCGTCTGGGTGCTCCGCCGTTGCCTGTGATAAGTGGCCATACTTGGGAAGGTTGAATCTTGGCCTGATGTGTCAGGAGCTGTTGTAGGACTAAGCAGAACTAAACACCGTAGGACTAAGGCTTAGCCCTTTTCTGTCTAGCAACAAAAACCCTGATCCAAGATGCACCTTTACTGCTTCTGCATGCAGGACTGGGGCAATGCCCCCCGAAATGGATCCCATACAGAGATGAGTTCTGCCTCTACCTCCCGGTTGCTCCTGTTCTCTCCTGGAAGGAGGCCAGAGTCTTCTGTCAGGACCAAAACGCAGATCTAGTGGTCATCAAGGATTATAGCAAGCAAGTAAGAGGTGGTATTTGCAATCCGCGCTCTCTCGGGGAATAAAAAGAGGAGGATGGGGGTGGAAAACTAGCCATGCAAGGGGTTGGCTTGGGTCCAGCTGCCATGAAGACAGCTCTGTTGCTGCATTAGCCATAGATAAGCTTAAGCCCGACCACTTCCTGCAGGAGCAGAGAAAATGCTGCCGTGGTCTCAATCTTGCCTTTGAAACTTGCCTTGGCACAGATGTTCCTGAGGGACCTTACCGAAGGTGCCAGGGGTCATGCATCGTACTTCTGGATTGGACTGGCGTGGCGAGAGGCTCAGCTCACCTGGGTGGATGGCACTCCAATATCACAGAGTTGGTACAGGTGAGGGAGGAAAGAGCTTGGTGTTTGGTTGCCTGGTGTTCCAAGAGAAGGGAGGATTCAGCCGATGTACACAAAAGCCTGCAGAGTTGGCCTCCGTCAGCCTTTCCTCTCCCATCGTCTCAGATAAGAGATAACAGATAATCAGAGTTGGAAGGGACCTTGTAGGTCATCTAGTCCAACCTCCCGCCCAAGCGGGAGACCCTACACCATTTCTGACAAATGACAGTCCTGTCTCTTCTTGAAAGTCTCAAGTGATGGTGCTCCCACAACATCCGAGGGCCACTTCTCTTCCATGGGTTGATTGTTCTCCCTGTCAGAAAGTTTCTCCTTATTTCCAGGATAAATCTCTCCTTGGTCAGTTTCCATCCATTATTCCTGGTCTAACCTACAGGTGCTTTAGAAAATAGCTTGACCACTTCCTCCTCTCTGGGGCAGCCCCTCAAATATTGGAAGATGCTATCCTGCCTCCTCTGGTCCTTCTCTTCCCTAGACTAGCCATGCCCAGTTCCTGCAACCGTTCTTCGTATGTTTTAGCCTCCAGTCCCCTCATCATCCTGGTTGCTCTTCTCTGTATTTTTTTAGAGTCTCAGCATCTTTTTTATAATGTGGTGACCAGACCTGGATGCAGTACTCTAGGTGTGGTCTTACTAAGGCTTTATAGAGTGGTATTAATACCTCCCTTGATCTCGATTGTATCCCTCTGTTAATGCAATTTAGGATTGCATTGGCTTTTTTGGCTGCTGCTGCTGTACACGGCTGGCTCCTGTTTAGCTGGTTGTCCACCAAGACTCCAAGATCCCTCTCATGGTTACTGCTATTGAGCTTCCTGA